TCTGTTGTTGTTCCAAGGCTTCAGATCTCCAAAAAGTCCCTTGTGGAGCTATTTTGGATATTTCTCACCATAGCAGCTGAGAACTGTGGAAGAGCTAATGACAGGACCAATGACTAAAAGCAGAGTTTTCTCCAGAATGTGTTGGGATCAGGGGGGGAGCTCAGTAAATTATTGAACTTCCTGGATGAAGAATTCATATCCAAAAGCTATTTCACCTTAGCACCTGACTCTCATTTACATTTAAGAGCTGTAAGTGTTTCAGGGATGAGCTCTGAAGCTGCTTCTCTGCATATTTTGCTCTTCAAACAGAAGAGTCTCTTCCCTTTTCTTATAGCCCATGGTTGCAGGAGGGCAGGCTGGGGCCAAAAAACCAACAAGCAGTGCCCAGCGAGCCCATGCAGAGTTTTGTGCCCTCACACCTGTGCTGTGGCACAGATTTTTTGGCCGTTTGGCTGAGCAGGTTTGCAGCCACAACAGAGGTCAAGCATCTGGGGCATGGACAAGGGCAGGAGGAACCCACAGCACGCAGGCAAACCAGAGTGGCTACCTGGGTTTGCTTTGGCTGCCAGTTGCCGTTGGCTGAAGAGAGGGACTTTCCACCTCGCTGATGCATGAAACCACTAACAACTCAGCTTTGATCCCAGGCCTTTGAAAGGAGTCCTGAATCTTGCAAAGCAACCAGTGCTCATGGGAGGCTGGAGGCAACGGCATTTGCCTCATTCCCCTTGGGTTGGGAGCTCTGTGATGCGTGTTTGGAGATGCCCAACTACCACTGGGAACCTCAGTTTTGGATGACTGGGCTCGTGGCTGCTTTTGGAAACAAACCACTGTGGCCTCCCAAGATGTTTTGGTGGCCGTTGGCTGCCTTAGTGCCACAGGAACCAGAAGGGCTTTGTGCAGAAGTGTTTCTGTAGCTCTGGAATGGAGAGGTGGAGGGTTGCCTGCCCTTCCAGAGCTTCTGGCTCTCTGAGCCTTGTCTTCTCTTGCTGCCAGTCCTTTGGACACAAAAGCAGCTGGTTTGCTGAGGACCTTGCTCTGCAGAAAGGGGCTGATGTTGCTCCCTGCCGTTGCTTGCTTTTTGGAAGGCAGAGAAAAGCTCTTTGCCCAGCTCAGGCAAAACCAGCAGTAGAAATGCAGAGTTTCTAGGTCATGCTGTTCTTGAGAGATGAGGCAAAAAGAGAAAACAGGTTAGGAAACTCTCCAAACACCTAGCAGAGAGGGGGTCAGGCCCAAGCATTGCACAGCCCAGAAGATCGAGTCCTCTCATGTACCCTGGAAACACTTTGTCCAACCTGCCTCCCACTGTGGCCAGGTCCCTTCTCACAGGACTTTTGCTGTTTACAGCTCAGCCAGCCCATGGTTAAGCTCCTGCTTGTTTGGGGTAAGCAGAGAGGGGAAGATTCACCTCCAAGCAAGTAACGCTGCATCCGTCCTACCCGCCCCGGCTCTCTGGAGCATTCCCTGCCTTTTTCTTTCCATGCTCCACTGGAGTCTAATCCTGCATGCAGAAAATTCCTCATGCTTTTTGCTCTTATTCCCTCCAGGGCATCTGTTTTCTCTTCCATTCTGTCTGGCTGTTCAACAGCCTGAACTCGGGTTGCTCTAATCCCTCCATCTTCAGTGATGTTCTCAGCTCCACATAATAAATATTAACAGCTTACATGTATCTTGGGGTTCTTATGCAAGGACTCCAGATAGCTTTATGGTTCCTATGCACAGGGGGGCTCACTTTATTCAGCAGCAAAATAAAGCCACAGATGAGACAGCAGTTGTTTAGCAACCTACAGTGACAACACACACTAGTTAGGACAGAAAGTGAAGATAAATATCGCATCCATTTGAAACTCCCGGGAGGGGATTGGAGTTGGCAGAATATAACGACTTGTTCTGAATTTTAGCCAGAATCCTCTGAATAGCATTCCTATGCTTACAGAAAGAGCTATAGGATTTAAAATACCTAAGCTATCCCTGGGGGTTTATTTACAACTCATGTTAACAGCACTGATGCTTCAGGATACCAGCGACGCTTTTAAGGCGACTCGCTTGAGTCATGGAACTCTACAGCCCTAAAGCCTTTCCTCACAATTTCTAGGGAAGGAGAAGTCACACACACACACACACACACACACTATAGATATAGTTATATATAAACAACTATCTATTAGCCATCTAATTAATAAAATATTTACATATTTTAGGCAGCTTCACCCCTTCAGCTGTGGCTAGCTCTGCTCCACAGCGACAGGAGGCATTTTTTTTGGTGGTGCCACAAACCCTTCTGCTGATCTCCTAACACTCTCAAAACCTTAATTTGATGAAAACAAACAAAAACAAAGACAGAAGAGCACAATCCTTCCTCTTCAGACCATGGCAGCTGAGGGAGCAGAGACTCTGGTCCAGGATGCTGCATTTTCCTTGAATGGTCCAGGAAGGGTTGGTGGCACTGGGTGGCACTTGCTCCCCGGGTGCCCCTTCCCTACTGGAAAGTCCAGCAGTGCCAGAAGAGGAATGAAAGAGGCCTCTTCTTTCAGTCAGCTCTTTCTGGAGGTCCTCAAAGGCCGCAGGGGGGTCTACAAAGCCCTTTCCAGTCTTTGCTGGGCTTTCTCCATGCCCTTGGCATGCAGTGAGATGGATATGGCTTCAGTCCTCCCCAAATGCATCAAAAGCCTTTGCATTGTCTTAGCCCTCCAAATCCTCAGCTCAGCTGCCTGCCCATGAGCTCTGGGACCAGAACCTTCTTCCAACCTGTCCCACCAGCCACAGCCTGAGCTCTAAGGACCCTCAGCCAGCGCTTGTGGCTTGGGGACATGCAGAGAGCATCCAGGGATGGGCCTTCTCTTTTCTACCTTTGTCTCACAGAGGGGTAGCTCTGGAAAAATCAGATGAGCTGCCTTTATGTCAGACTTACTCTGCATATTCAGCCCTGAACCTGCCAGCTCCTCTCCAGCAGTCTGGCAGTGCAGAGCCTCACTGTTTTTCTCTCTTTCTGCCTAGGACTTTACATTCCCAGTGGTTTTGAATTTCACTGCACTGCAAAAAGACCCCTGCTCTCGTTTCTCCAGATCGCTCTGGTTCTGTCCTCATCCATCCGCTCCTTCCTTGTAAAGAGGGAGGGGAGAGGAGGTTTTTCCAGAGCCTGCATCCTCCCATCCCTCCCTAAGGACAACAGCAAATACCAACATTCGCTCAGGAGCCTCCTTTCCCTGCACATTCAGCCTGTTTCTCCAACCTGGACTCCTAAGCCAGGGCTTCCACAGCATGTACAGAAACCTAATTTTGCACATCTCTTTTTCCAGTGGCTGTACAGACACAGCTCAGTGTGACCCACCCACTCCTACCCTCTTTATTTTTTCATCCTTTGTAAACTGGTACTTATGCCAAAGGATAAGTTTGTTCTGAGTGATCTGCTTTATATAAGTGCATTTGGCAATTCTTAAACTTTTATCTGGAGAATCCACATGCTGGAATATTTCCCATTGGAACCATTCTCAGTATAAGTTAGCAAATACCATAGATAAATGGGATGGGAGAAGAAGCAAGACAGACTTGTTTATGCAGCTATCAAAATCTGTGCCAGGTTAGGGAACACAGAATAGGATAAAACCTCTTCAGCTCCATTTTAGTCGGTACCAGGATCACACCATCCTATTAAATAGCCACACAACAAACCAGAGGAAAGGATCTCCAGCTCAAATGGCATTTCAGAGTGGTCCTGGACAATAAGGCCAGGCTGGGCTCAGATATCTGAACTCCCTGCTCCTCGTAGGACAGGAGACATAGGTGAAGGACTGCCAGCTCCTGTCTCGGTCAGCCTCAGGGCCAAGGCACCAAACCTCACACAGCTCTGCTGCCTTTCCCTCCATGCCAAGCACCACTTCTCTGACAGGAAGGGTTTTGGATGGTAGGTGCCTGTGCTGGCAGGTTCAGCACACCCAGTCTTCCTGGGAACTCCAGGAGGGCAGGGAAACGGGAGCTGCTGCAGCACAGCAGCCCAGGGCCTCCCCCCAGTTCACACTAAACCCCGCAGGGCGAAGCTGTGCCCGTGGGACCTGGAGGAGCAGTGGCAGAGCCACCCACCTCTGCAAAGGATCCCTGCTCTGCCTGCCAAGGGAACGGGCGTTTCTCACCGCTCTGATCCTGCCCACGGATTTCTCAGTGCACTCAGATCTTGCCTGGAGGCACTCAGTACTACTTGATTTATCCAAAGGGATAAACCTCCCTCCACTCCTTCCTCAGCTGGCACGCCACACGTGCCTTCAGCCTGCACACACCAGGGCTTGGCTGCACGCTGGCTCCTGTGCCACGGAGGCAGTTGGCACTGTGGCACAGCGGTCACCCCGAGGGCTCCCCGTGTTTGCCAGGGAAAAGCTCCTTCCCTGGGAGCCAGCGAGGCAGACAGAAGGGGAAGGCTGGAGTAGGGAAGGAAGGGGCTCGCTTGCCGCCTGCTGTCGGAAGCCTGAACTGAACGGGAAGATCATCTGGATCCTGACACCTCCGACAGCTAGTCCAGGCCTCAGCTGACCTGATGTAGGCAGGACCCCTCCTCTCCTCACTGCCCAGGCACAGGGGTGCACACCAGCACCTTCAAGGCAGCCACATCATGACAGTTTTGATTCTACCCATGTGACTCCCTGCCGTGTGCTACCAGAAGCCTAAGCAGTAAAACTGTGTTCCCAACTCCACTTGCCCTCTGTGACTTTCCAGATGGCTGGTTTTAAGGAAGACCACGTGCCTTTTACCTGCAAAAAACAATCCACATTTATAGTTTAACTCCACACCATAATCCAGTGCCAAAGCTCAGCAAATAAGTAAGTGTAGGACAAAGACCTGAGGCCTTTAGGTCACCTGCAAGGGCTCAGGTCACTTTTACAACAGGAGCTTGCCTGCTGGAAGGTACAAATCCCTGTTCTGGAGGAATAGAGGGTTTCACCAGGAAGAGCTGTCACACCCCGACACGAGATGGTAAAGAAGAGAGCAAGCCACATAGGTGCCAACGAGTATAGCTATAAGTTATTTATTCTGCAAAATAGAGGTATCTTTTATGGAGTTGAACACTGGAATCACAGCATTACGAATCGAGTTGTGGAAACATGATGACAGCACACACACACGCACAGGCACACACGTGCACACCCACACCCACCCACACAGAGCCTTCACACGGGCCCCTGCTCTTGCATCACCCCGAGGGAGCCCTTCTCTGCATCGCTTATTTGCAAAAACCTGCAGCGAGGGCTGCGTTTGAGAGCCCTTCCCCTGTTCCCAGGGCTTCTGAGGGCATGAGGTCGGTCAGGATTTGGCAACGTGTGTGTAGAGAGTGCTGAGCCCGCTCCCCAGCCCGGTCTCCGGCCCATCCTGCCTAGAAGGAGCCAACCCTCAGCAGAACAGGGCCCTCGGCGGAGCCCCCTCGTTCTTCCCTCAGTCTTTGCTTACGCAGCTGAGCGCAGGGTGTCTGCAGGAGGCAGATTTCCAGGTTAGGACACAGCCAGTGCTCCCTGCTCGCCATGGTCCATGTTCCAAAGCCGGTAGAACTCGGCGAAATCCACGTAGGGCTCCACGCGCCCGTCTTCATCTGGCTGCAGAGAGTGGGTGGGTCGGGAGCGGAAGAGACCCCCGTCTGAACTGGAGCTGCTGCTCTGCGTGTGGGTGTTGGTCGACTGCAGGGTCACAGTTGGGCTTTGGCTGTGGAGATAGAGAGAGAAAGGAGATAAGCAGGTGTGTTTTACCCTGCTCCGGACAGGAAAAGCAGCAGAAGTGCCAGGTGCTTCACACATCAAGCTGCACACAGGTAAAGAATTGCAGCCTCTTGCTCTGTCAGAGCACTAGAAGTGTGGAGAGCTGCTTGGGATGGATCAATACCACAAGATACCTGATTGGTGTTCAGCTGGAAGGCCTTAAGCACAACCAGGTGTCTGAGGAACAGGGGAGAGGAAGCAGGAAAAAAATAATTGGTGGAAAAAAAATTAAAAATAAAACATATATTAAATAAAAAGGCACACACTGTGCTGGCCTCTCCATACCCCTACAGCATGAGCTTTACAGGAAGAGCCTGGCAGCAAGAAGAGCTATTCTTGCGTGCCCTGTGCTGCAGCCAAAGCAACTCTGGTGCGTCAGCTTCATTGTTTCTGGAGCTCCCAGAACACAATAACCAGAGAGCTTCTTCACTTTGCAGCTTGTACACACACCACCCTGTGCCAAGGGCTGAACCACTGCTGGCACGACCCTGCAGAGCAGATCCAAAGAGGATCCAGTTCTGACCTTCACCCTTTTTTCCTACCCTAGCCTCTAAGCAAGCCAACTGGTGGAGTGCAGCCTCTCCAGCAGCCTTACAGGTGACCTTCACAGCCCCTCTTCCTTATCAAAATGAAAGCCCCACCCACCCCTCCATGCTCAGCACCCGACACGCTGGGTGCACAGGATCCAAAGAACCAGGCTGCTTGCTGCCAGGGTGCCCAGATGCTGCTTCCAGGGTGGAATGTTCCCAGAGCAGGCTTCAGAGCTGCTTGTTTGTCTCATTCCCACTCCTCACACAATCTCTTTCCAGTTTCCACGCTACACTGGCTGTCAGTACCACAGTCAGGAGGGCCAGGGGCCAGATAAAGGAAGGATTGACAGGTGACTGACAGCTGTCTCTCTGCCTTTTCACAGCTTTGCAGAGTGTGAGGTGCAGGGAAAAACTGCAGGTAGCAAAAGAGCAAGATTTTTACTTAGTGAGGGTGGGGGTGGCTTCATCCAGAGTGGAACTGCTGTGGGCACCATTGACCATCTGGCCTTGGGAAGGCATGACAAGGGACAGCGTGACACTCGTCTTGCTCGTGCTCTGGGAGCTGGAGTATGGCACAGAGACGGGGTAGACGCGGCCTCCTGAGAAGGGAGAGCACAAGAGTTACAAAATGCAGCTGAGGCACGAGTGACTGGGGGTACACAGCAGCAAGGAAAGGCCAGAGAACCCAATAATTCAACTGCCTTTCTTAGATGCTGCACTGTGTTCTGTCTAAATTGTCACAGACCCTACATCTATAAGCCAATAATCCTTTTTCTAGAAAAAACCCTTCTCCAGCAATAATCGGCTCTCCCCATGCTGCATCAGCAAAGAGATCTCATCCCCCACCCTCCCCAACCCACCTTGTGTCGGCGTCAGCGTGGGCTGGCTCATCTCTCCCAGGGGGTAGCCGAAGTTCCTCACCAGCAGCGTCATGTCCTCGTGGCGGGGGCAGAACTTGGAGCGCTCCCCACCGCTGGCGAAGGTGTCGCCGTGGATCCTCTTCACCCTGTCCACCACCGCCTGGGCCACGGCGTCCAGAGACGTCTGCTTGGCAAACTCCGTGGCTATCATGGCTGCTATCTCCTGAGCACAGAAAGACAGGGGAAGGGGGGAAAAGAAAATAAGACGTTGAGGAGGTTTTGGAGGAAATCTATTCCTGGTATCTAAGAGCTTTTCATAGAATCATAGAATACTTTAGGTTGGAAGGGACCTCCAAGATCATCAAGTCCAACCATTGAGCCATTAGGGCTCTAAAGTCCTCTGCTAAAACAGAATCAGAATCTGTCAGGGTTGGAAGGGACCACAAGGATCCCCCAGTTCCAACCCCTCTGCCATGAGCAGGGACACCTCCCACTAGATCAGGCTGCCCAGAGCCTCATCCAGCCTGGCCTTAAAGACCCCCAGGGATGGGGCCTCAACCACCTCCCTGGGCAACCCATTCCAGGGTCTCACCACTCTCATGGGGAAGAACTTCTTCCTCACGTCCAGCCTGAATCTGCCCACTGCCAACTTTGCCCCATTCCCTCTAGTTCTGTTGTTACTCAATATCCTAAAAAGTCCCTCCCCAGCTTTCTTGTAGGCCCCCCTAAGATACTGGAAGGCCACAATAAGGTCACCTCGGAGCCTTCTCTTCTCCAGACTGAACAGCCCCAACTCTCTCAGTCTGTCCTTGTAGGAGAGCTGCTCCAGCCCTCGGATTTTATGGTGACTGATCCAGCTGTGATGCTTGCCAGTCTCACCTTGTGCCTTGAATGCCTTTAGTGGGCTGCTCCTAAGGGACAGGGAGCTGCCTAGAAGAACTGGCTTGGCAAAGCAGCTCCCCTATTATTACAGGCTGGAATGGGGTGGCACAGGCATGCAAGCTGGCCAGCACACCCAGGACAGACCAGGAGCCAAAGGAATGTCTCCAGTGTCAGCAGGCTCACCTGATTGGCCTGCCCAGGCCCATGAGCTGCCTCCAGTGCTTTGTAGAGCCCTTCAGACATGAGCACCAAGAAGCCAGTCACCCCATCCAGAGAGTGCCCTCCGTGGATTTCAGGCTCTGCGATGATGGGCTTCGATTTGGCAGCACTGGAAAGAGATGGGGTTATTCAGTATTTACTGGTGACAGAGCACATGAGAACGGAGAGGTCATGAAGAAAAGGAGGACTTGACAGCACAGAGCTGAGTTTTTCTGACCTGAGCAGTTCAATGTCAGTATAGCCATATTTGACTTTGTAATCTCCAATGCGCCGAGTGCTTTCCTGCCCACGAATCGTTCCCACTTGTTTTATTTTCCCTGCATCCAAGCCTGCCAGATTGAAAAAACAAGTAAGTTTAACAGGCTTGCAGAAACTTGCAGGACTTCCTCTGGTTACACTGTCAGGAATGAGAAAAGAAATATCCACAGCTGAAGAGAACTGTAAGACAAAACAAGATGCCAAAGAATCACAGAATGGTAGGGGTTGGAAGGGACCTTTGGGATCATCTAGTCCAACCCCCCTGCTAAAGCAGGTTCACCTAGAGCAGGTTGCTCAGGAGCACATCCAGGTGGGCTTTGGAAGCTTCCAGAGGAGACTCCACACCCTCTCTGGGCACTCTGTTTCAGTGCTCCATCACTCTCACAATAAAGAATTTTTTCTTTATGTTAGGTGGAATTTCCTGTGTTCTACTTTGTGCCCATTGCCCCTTGTCTTGTCACTGGGCACCACTAAGAAGAGTCTGTCCCCATCCTCTTGACACCCACACTTTAGATATTTATAAGCTTTGATAAAGTCCCCTCTCAGTCTTGTCTTCTCCAGGAGAATCATCAAGAGCCCAGGAGGGAGCAGAGGAAGAGCACTTTGCTGTGTTCCAAGGGACACCTTTCCAGGAAAAGGTGAGAGATGCACTCAGCACAGCAGGAGTACTCTGGACACAACGGCTGGCCCCAAGACAAAGCCCACCTCCTGGTCCAAAGCCACCAGAGGCAGCTGGCCCAGGCACACAGGCATCCCCTGAGCAGGAGAGGGAACATCTGCACCCACCAGCTCCAGCCTCTGCCATGGGAGGAGAGGGCAGGATGGGGGAAAACTGTATGTGAAAGATTCTGCTTCTTCTTCCCCCTATTCCAGCTCCTAAACTCCACACGACAACTTCACTACTACAACAGATTGCAGAGGGGAAAAAAGAACTATCTACAAGAGGCACTGAGTTTGGTCAAGTGCTCAAACTGATGTGGGCTACTCCTAAAAAAAGGACCATGACCCAACTGGCAGGGGTTAGGAAGAAAATCCCATCTTGAAGAAGGTTCTAACAGGGACCATCTGGGTGAGGCTACTATTTGAGGCAGGACTCAGAGCAGACGAGCCACTTACCTGGTCTGTTCTGGCAATTCCCCTTTCCTGGTTATACCTAGAGCTAACAGGCAGAGAAGGTTATTTTGAGATTATTATCTAAGGATGACTGTCCTCAATACAAGGTGAAGGCAGGGGTTCAACTGAAACTCTCCCTCTGAGTCAAACCAAGCCTCACTGCACAGATGGCTCCACACCTACCCCAGCAGTAAGACACAACTCTGCCATCTGCTAAGGACCAAAGCTGAGTCACCAACACGGCCTGGCCCATTTGCCAGCTCCTGGCAGGGGGATACATGCTATTGACAGACACAAACACAGGGAGGCTTGCAGCACACCACAGAGGTTGTGTCCAAATCACAGCAACGATCTTGGAGCGCTGAACAAGCTCTGCTGTGCTGGGTGGAGAGCCACAAAGGTAGAAGACTTCTCCCTCCCTTCCCCCAGGAGAGGGTACAACACAGGCACCATCATGACAAGTTCCATTTCCACTACCTCTTATCACTGTGCTTCAATCTAGCCCTGAAACAATCTCCTTCAGGAACCCCAAAACAGCTTGTGCACATTGGCTTATTCCACAGG